TATATTTGTTACTTTATATATATAACTATTATTATAACATGCGTAAACAGATTGCATATATGAACCCTTCTCAGGTGGCTGCCACACAGCTAGATTAATGGATTGCAGAGCTGGCCTAATTCTTCCACATCTTTAAACAGATAAAAAACTTCCTGATTTACCCAGGTGCTTATGAGGAAGACTTCAAATTTTCAATTGTGTACCAATCTGACTATGTGTTGTGGTTCAGGAAGAAAATAACTCTATCCCAGCTGAAATCAGGACATTACGGCTCCCTGGATTTTATCCAATCCATCTTTTCAGCATTTAAGAAGCCAACCCTCATCTCCCATCAAAATCCAGTATGTAAAAAGACCCCCTTATCATGAAAAAAACCCACCGAATCAGCACAACTACACAAGGGAAATACACACTTTGAATGTCTGATTCTTAGTCTTGGAATAAGAAAAAATTTCTTGGAAAATAAAAAATAGATTTAAATGTAACAGATTTAAATGTAATAGATTTAAATGTGGAAAGAGGGCCTGTGTGAAGTGTGCACAATCCATTCAAAGACAAAAAAGCTGAAGAGAAATCATTCTCTATAAAGAGAATGGAAAGTTAGTCAGATAATTTGGAAGAATTAAATCCATTCATTAGTAAGAATGATCATGATTATAGATTTCAAACTGTGACAATGGACAAAAAGGAAAAAGACTGTCAGAGGCAGGGGTGTTTAATTGGAAGTAGTAGAGTGACAAAACAGTTTCCTGAGAGAAGCTGTGGGAACAACGTGAGCAAAACAGCAAAACAGATGCGTAGATTTTCCCCTCTTACAGGTATCTGAAGAAAAATGAAATCCACCTTGGCTGCAAGGACTAAGGCATCCCGTGGAGTCCCCAACCACCAGATGACCCAAGTGTGTTCTTACGTATGGTCAAGCAATTCCTTTGGACCTGTCTTAAACTGGCAATGCAAGCTATTGAATTGGGACATAAAATCCAGACTAAGATTTCTTCTAAGTAAGGTGGGGTTTAGGCTGTCCTCGTGGTGCCTGTCGTTCCTCAGTTAGGTACATAATTTAAACCAGAAGTCTATTGAGCAACAGCTTTAAGCAGGTCTCTGCTTCTTCCTGTACCCATATGGAGACAGGGTGCCTCTTCCAAAGGCAGGCTGGAGGGAAATTCTGACAGCTGGGATGACACTAAACATCTTCTGTCATTTCTTTTTCCACTAACAGTATCTCAAGCCTGTCTTTGACACTGACAGAATAACTTCAGGAGAGAAATGTGCAGCAAAAGGTGAAAAGCTGAAACCCTCTCAGTGAAGAGCCAATGCCAAATCTCCACAACATACCAGTGAAGCATATTAAATGTTTCCACAGAGCGTATCAGAGTTCACAGATAGCAGTGAAATACATTGCTCCAACAGAAGAGTGTAGGAGTACAGTGTAGGAAGGGGACTTCTGGCAACAACCACTGCATTTTTCACTAGGAACAGTAAGCCTGATAAATAATTAACTTTGGGCTATATAGACAGGCTCCATTTTCTTCACAGTACCTCACAACCTTGTTTCTTTTGGAGGCCTTTTGATCCTGTCCTCACCATATCAAACAAGCAGAAACTATAGCAGAATTATGGAGGAAATTAATACGGATTTGTTTTCAAGATGGGACAAGCAGTGCCAGCCCTACTGCAAACGTGGATCCAGTTAATGCTACTTATTCAGACCCTTTTCTTTCTATCAAGGAGAAACAGAAAGACCCAGGGTTCTCTACTGACTTACTTGGGTATCAGAGTATATGTATACCCAGTGCTTGAAATATCCTGGAATCACCACTGAGAAAACTTTGCAATCCTTGCATTTAAAGATCACAGAATCATAGAATGGTTTGGGTTGGAAGGGACCTTAAAGATTATCTAGTTCCAACCCCCCTGCCATGGGCAGGGACACCTTCCACTAGACCAGGTTGCTCAAAGCCCTATTTAAAGATAAATTTACGTTATGTAAGAAGCCAAAACAGGAAAGTCTATGATGCTATAATTTACAGCCAGTGTTTGCAGACTTGTAGTGAAGATGTGATCCAAAATCCAAGCACTGGATTGTGAATTGATGCCTGCGTAGGTCCTGAGAACTTGCGCAGCTTTAAATGTATCTTTAAGGATGCTCATTATTTCTGATATGGATCCTGTAATTCCATAAACACTCGCTCTCTTAACTACAAGTATAGTCCAGACATTTATGTTACTGCTTATAAGATCGCAGGTTACAACAAGATTTATGATACAAATTTCAGTCACCTGGATTTGAACATCTGCCAGTGAAAAGTCCACAGAGCCTGCAGAAACCTCTCTTCAAGAGGAGTTAAGACTGTGCAGTGCTCAACACCTTTATGGAAACCACCTCTCGAAAGCTTGAGGAAATCATTTTCTTCCTTTTGTATTGAATGATGCACCCAGTGAGTGCCTCTGTCTTGTGCAATCCTTCTGCTGCACTTCTGACATAACCACAACCACAAGCTTCACTCCTGATTAACCCCCTCTGCTCTGCGGCAAGCGGGGCAGAACCCTGCCGAGCCCCAGTGAGCCTGGGCACAAAGACGGCAGAGCAATCACTCACCCTGTGGGCAGGTGTTCGTTCAGTAAATCTCAGCACATGGATACTCCAGTTGGAAAATGTGATTACATAAAACTGCAGCCCACTCTTCTCCTCTGCCCAGGAGCAGAAACACACGCTCTGTCTAAAGGGGCTCTGGTGTGCAGTATGAAACTTAAGGTCTACATCTTTGAAAGATTTATGGGTATAGGAAAGTACTTACTTTTGTGCAACAAAAGAAGGATCAAAGAACTCAGACGTAATCCTGTTTGCATACAGGGAACAACTAGTCATAGAGCACAACCCTGAAAAGCATAAGACAAACCATTCAGTGGAGCCAGCAGAAGAGCTTTGTGCCTGACCCTGAAGCCAATGAAGTCATGGAGAATTGTGCCCGGATTTCTGCGGAAAAGAAGCAGCTCTGGTATGACTTCAAATACACAGACTTAGAGAAATAAAGTATATTTACCAGAAAGTATGAAAATCAGTCCAGCTAAACAAGCTATTTTTGCTTTAGTCTGATCAGAGCCTCCGACTTTTGTACACTTCATTCCAATCAGTCCGAAAACAGCACCGAAGAAGCCCAGGCAGACAGCGGAGATCATCAGTCCTCTGCAGGCTTGGATGTAACCTGTGGTGAGAAAGAGTAAGGCTAACATGAGACTGGGACCACAACGGGTCTCACCGTAGGTGCTCTCCCTCTGCTCCCTGATAGGCATTAACTATTGCAAACCCAATCAGACCTTGGCTGTAGTAATGCCACCTTACTATTCATTGAGTGTGTACTTCTAGGTGATGTATGCCCCTCACAGGGCATTGTCACCTGAGCCCAGCTCATAAGAAACACACTATGACATGCAGGGCCACAAGAAATAATCCCATTGTATAGTATCTGCACGAGGTTGTACCCATGAGGTTTTGAAGAGCAACTCCACATGGTCTGTGTAGCATCTGCCACAGGTTGCAGAGGCACCCTGGGCACACAAAACAAGTCAGTCTTGTGTGTGTGCTGCAGATGCAATACAACTGGCAGCAGGCTGGCAGCAGTGACACCGGCTGGGGTCCTGGACCTGCTTGGACATGCCACTGATTTGGGCTGGATCCACCAAGAAGGCCCTCATTCTGCAAGAAACTCAAACACATGCTCAGCTTCACAGACAGCAGTAGCCCCTTGAGATAAAACAAATCACTGCCATACGTAAGCCTGGACAAATGGCTTGTGGCTGGCTTTAGCCATGTACAATTTTGCCGTGCTGGCTGAGGCTGCCCTGAGCTGGACCTCACAGGGACAGGGCCTTCCAGCAGGGCAATCGGTTTCTTGGCCTCTTCTCCCTTCCAAGAATATCTTGTAATTGAAAGACTGTGATAATCTCACATCACTGTTCACAGGGTGGAACACTGCAATCTTACACAGATGAATAACCATCACAAGATGTTTTTCTTTATAACCTGTTGTTACATCTCATTTAAAATGAAAATGTACTTCCACTATTGGGGCATTCATTCTTTTCGCTTTGATCTCCAGTCGGTGGAAATGTTGAGAGCTAAACCAAGTTTCCATTGCCTATTACAGCAAATTTTACATAATAACAAAAAATCACCATCGCCCCTGTATAAAAGTCTTTCATATGTAAGAAATAAATATATAAAGGCAGGAACTAGAGGACATCTAATGAAAATAGAAGGCAGCAAATTCCAAACAAAAAGTGCACTTGTTCATATAACAAAGTTGTGGAACTCCTTTCCATAGGGTATGTGGATGCTAAAGGTTTACAGAGATTCAAGAAAAGACTGGATACATTCGTTATAGAGAAATCTGTGTCTGGCTGGCAGTCCCTTGAGCTGCAGATGGCTACCACTGCTGCTTGGCTGCCTTCTGCTCTCCTTAGTGCCAGCCACTTTAGCCCCTGCTGGAGGCTAATGGGCTCCAGTATGACCACTCTGTATTTGAGCAGTGTTTAACACATACTCCCCCCCACCCCTTAATTCCCAGCTTTGTGCAACAAGCAGTACACAAGAAGCAATTTGTAGCACATTAACACTCCATTTTATAATTCCTATCAAATTCAAGTGCTGTGCTGCACGTCTGTTGGCAATACATACAGACTATCTTCCATTTGCAACATGCTCCTGTAGCCCATCTGCTATAGAAACATAATGGCCCATGACTGTAACTGTCATACGGCTCGCATGTTGGAATGTAAGAGACAGAGTCACTTGTGCCAGACCCAAGCCTGAAGAGCGCAGTTCTGGTTTGTTGATTTTTGCTATAGGCGTGGAAAAATTGGCTTTTACTGCTTTTGGTGGTGTGTGATGTATTTCATGTGGCACTCAGGTAAAGCGGGAGAGGAAGACTGGCAAAGTAGCTATTATTTTTGACAGGTCCAATTTATTGACACTATTAGTAGCTAATTGACACATTAAAGTGCTGAACCATGAACATATTTACCCGGAGGTCCTCTAAACTTTTATTTATGCCCAAACCTCCTAGGAGAAACAGTAAATATTCACCCTGACCAAAATAACCAGCATTTGCTAGGAACCACAGGGACGAAATTCAGCGGCTCCTGAAGGTCAGTACACAGTTTTACAATAGGTAGAGGGTAGTGAGACACCAAGAAATAATTAACTCACTCACCCAGAAATCATTTTCAATTATAAACAGCATGAGCTGGAGGACTGCTCAGTTCTGCTGAATGAATAACCTTCCTCACTAAATATTTCACCAAACTGGGCAGGGCAGCCGCAGCAGGACTTGCTTCAGTTCACCACAGCAATCATCCAACTGGCACACATTTTTAAAACAAAATATATGGAAAACATAAATCACAGTCTACACCAGTAATGTGGAAGAGCAGAAGACTCTGTTAGTCCCACTAGGCTGACTGCAGCATTGGGAAGCATCAAAGGGTGAAATCAACGTTTCACCAAATCCAGCCTGCTATGGCATGGACTGAGGTTAAAACTATGTATAGCATTTGGCTGTAAGTGTAATTAAACTTTTTCTTTGCCTTCTAGAAAGCAAGAACATTATACTGCTTACTAAGGCTTATAATTCAGAGAAGTGTAAAGGGGAGCTGCCTATTTCTTCACATTCCTCCACACAAGACCATCCCCCTTCTGAATGTTTATTGTATTTACACCAGCTCCTGCAGGAACCTTGTCCTATACATATTGACCACCCAAATGAAACTCCCAAGCAACAAAACTCCATGTGTTTTAAACAGACAAGCAGACACACATGCATTACTCATAAAGTCATGTTTAGCAGCATTCCAAGAGAAACTGATTTCAAAGCCTTTTTTTAAAAAAAAGAAAAAACAAATGGGTTTTGTCTTGCATTCAAATTAATCTTTCTAGAACTTCTTCTTTCTTGCCTCTCTGCTCTCACACTTGCCTCTCATGCCCACAAAGAGCTAGGAGGAATTAATCTATTCATATCTTATGACACTCAGAAAAAAAAATATATCCTAGGTTCTGGGGACTGTCACTTTCACAGTAAATGCCTCTGGTGGCATCTTGAAGTCTGCATCACGTGAAATATAAGAGGTTGCCTTACAGATAAAGTGCAGATTCCTTTCAAAAGTACACACCTATTGCTTTTGTATGTTCTCCTAAGCTCTAATACCTTCTTTTAGCTCATAAATACATTTTTGTTCAGCTTTGTTCTTGCAAAAGGTCATTGGATCCATTGTTGGAGACATGGAAACTGATACGTCCTCATTTGCGGAGGTGATTTCATCACTAAGTTTCCACCTATCTCCAGCAGCGCCCAAAAATAAACCCAAAGTGTTTTTAAGTCCCACAGACAGCAAGAATATTTTTGCTTGCACACAGAATGTGGGGCTGAGTCCTTAACAAGGGCTGGCCAAATTGGTTACTTGTACAGGAATGCATAAAGGTGGAAGGGCATCACATGCGATTTTCTCTGGTGGCCGTTCTTGTGGAGCACTGGCCTGAGAGCCACGGGGGCAGCCTGGATGCCATGCCACCCTCAGCAATCAGCCCGAGACCAGTCTGTGATGCAAACCAAAACAAGGGTAATGGGGCACCTAAACTATGACACTGCTCCTGAAGAAAGAAGGACTTCTGTCTCCCATGGGAGAGCCCCAGCCACTGGCATTGTTGATATCCCAATTTCTTACCTCCTGTTTTGCCTCTGATCCTCTGCCAGACCTGAGCAGTCTCTCTGGACAAGAAGTCCAGCAAAACTCAGAGGTTTCAGATTTGAGAAGAAACCATTTCCATAAAAGAGGAATTGCTCTGTAAGGCAAATCCTCTCCAGACCCATGAGGAA